GTTTTAAAAATTCGAGTTTATCACATAAAAATTCGAGTTTATCACACCAAAATTCGAGTTTATCACTTCAATCATTATTAATGATTGAAGTGATAAACTCGGTGATAAACTCGAATTTTTATGTGATAAACTCGAATTTTTAAAACCGGTTCCAACCTCTAACTGTAGCCGAACTTTGGTTACACGAACCAACTTTGATCAAGCGACAGACTCGCCGATTTCGGGTTTCTAAACGTCATATGTCGTAAAATAACTAATAGATACTGATTTACTGTATCGTAAAAACTTTATTTATTTTTTAACCATTTGAGATCGTAAAAACTTTATCTATTTATTTGTTTTTTAATTTATTATTCTACACCCACTGGAATCAATTTTTCCTCTCTATTGCCTGCCTTAAGATCCTCAGCTCTGCTCTGGAAACTAGATAATGCCACCTTCGCATAGCAACAAAATCAAAAATATCGTTTTAAGTTTTTCAATAAAATAAAAGAGGTGGTTTATATCTATGCATATATTATTTCAAAAACTGGCTGATTAATCAATGCAAGATGTCTTAAGTAACGATGCTCTACGCCTTAAAATCACTTCCCAATCCCTAACCCTAACCCTAAATACCAACACTAACATGAAAATTTGTGTTGAAAATTTTTATAATCAAAACTTAGAAAAATCTAAAAAAATATAACAAAACATATGATGGGTGCAAACCACCATAGGCGCGTTTTATAATAAATGAAAACTCAAAATATTTTTATTAAGCGAAAAGTATTTTATTTGTGCACTTCCAGAATTCGCTCTGCTAGTATAAAAAAAAGTACGAATAATCTAAAAAATTAACGAAAATAAGTACTTCTGATACAACTAGTGATGTGCCGCGTACAGTATTATACGTACTGTACGTATGCTAAAATTTTTGCCGATCACTTTCCAGCCAATCAGAAGTCAGCAAAAGAACTATATGTACTGTACAGTACGTACTGTACGCTAAAATTTTTCAGGTATCATATAAATGGCACATAAACAAGAAAATTTTATAAAGGTTTTGTTCGGTACTTTATTCTCAAGAGAATTAAAATTTGCAGAGACCTACGTTTACAAGCTTATAAATTTAAAAATATACCCAACACTGTTTCAAAATCCTTAACTATATTTCTAGGCCGCAATTTTTTACTTTTGTTTAAAACATAATTGACACGAATATCTAAAATATTTCAAGTTCATTTTTATTGATATTGATACAATACTGCAAATAAATAAAATGCTGCTGAAATTGCTAATTAATAGACTTGTTTTAATACTAATACAATAATGTAACTCAATTTCTCAAAAACCATTTTTCCGAAATAGTTAGTATTACGTTCTTTCAGGAAAATAGCTTTCGAAAAATCATACAGTAACCCTGATACAATACTGCAATAGGTGCTAGTTTGCTAAATAGTTAAACAATCACCGAAGTGACTGTAATCTTGCCCAGGCGGCTTCGATTATTACTCTAGGTCTTGCTTGGCTCAACACAACTTCATGAACAACACACACTGTGTAAGTATTTACTTTAAGAAAACGCGCTTCTCTTTCTTCTACCAGTCAAAAGACTAAAGAATTTCTTTATTTGCATTTTTCTATTTATGCGATTCAATCAATTACATATTTTGTATTACACTTTAACTATTTCTTTGTTATTAATTTATTAAACTTTTAACTCCCCTAATTAATCGTCATATTCATGCATTCGACGATCACGGTACCTATTGTACCCGATCTCGATTATATCCCGACACTATGATTTCCCACCACGACTCTGATCGATCACATGATAACGTGAGTCGTTCGAACCATACTTCCGTTTCCCCTTTGGTTCTTTCGTTCCGTTATTCAAGTCGTTATCAACTCGCATCCATTTTACTAAGTATAAGGGCTCTTCGTAAACTGCGCGACCATTAGTAATACTGAAAATAAATGTTACTGCTAAGTGCTAATAATTAGTAATTCTCATACACTTACAAAAACCAAAAAAATTAATGCTTATTTTGTTTTCGGATTTTCGTATATCAATATAATTTAAAGTTGTGTGTTTATTTTAATTAAAATTTTACATAACACTATAAAGTTTTACAGTAATATTCGATAAAATTGGTAGAATTCATTTAATCGTTCACACGAAAATTATTTACTAATAAAACTTGAAAGTTCTAAAACTCAAAAGAGCAAAACATTAGCGTTAGTATTAAACGGTGAAAAAAATTATTTAAAAAAAAATTTTAATCAATATGTAATCATTGCGAAAATAATATTTAAAAGAATATTACTTTCCACTAAATACTACTGTAGCCCGTGAAATTTCGACCTCTGGAAATTTTAATTTTTTGGCGCAGGTGCATAAGCTGCAACTTCATTTGTACGTAAATCCCGGCGATTACACTTATTGTATTTATTGCATTTCTTAAAGATAATGCATTAATGAGGGATAGGCGATTTCGGCGATTTAGTGAATTAACGGGTTTTAATTGATTTAAGGGATTTTGGCGATTTAAGGAATTTCAGGTTATAAGTAACGATAATTAAAGGATTAATCGCTTAAATCATTCTTAATTTGTTATATGTAAATTTCTTTATAAATAAAGGGCCTTTTCACCCATTGCAACGGCAGCTTCTATCTGTAAAATTCCAAAAGTACATTGTCTCTTATATTTTATGGCGCTTTGCAATAAAGTGTGACATCATGATTGCACGATGATGATAAAGTAAGAATCTCCGAGATTCTAATAGTGAATCGGATTTTGAGAATCTATAGAAATGTATACATTTTTTTATATACAATTATTTTTTTAATCATGTTTTTATCAGTGATCGATATAAAAAATAATTATTACATATTTATGATTAAATCAGTATAAAGCTATTTTATTTTTATTTTTTATTTTTTTTATATATGTAATACATTTCTCTTGATAAATAACTAAAATGGCCGATATTCAAGAAACCAAATTAAAGTATCGTCGAGGAGCTTGTTTTAGTTGTCGGATATGCATGTTTTGTGGAATTGATTTACAACAAGAAAAATGTAATTGCGACTTGTCTAATGTGCCAGATAGAAGTAACCGAACAGATACTGTAAAATACGCATTTACAAGAATCTTCAATCCGAATTGGATTAAAGAAAAAGTAGACTTTATCCAGCAAAAAATAGAATATTATAATTATTCATTAAGTTCAGAAGAGTATTTTAATTTTACTTTGTGTGCTCGTTGCAATAGTAAGCCGTAATACTTTTCTTACCAGACTTTCACTAACATAAAGAAGGTTTGCAACTTGTGTAGATACAGTATATTATACGCCATTTCAAATCGTTACTATAAGCAGAGGGCATGCTAACGAATGTTTTTTTAGCGAAGGTTTTTATTGAAATTAAAATAGAACAATTATGTAACAGTTATAGTAATATACTAGAATCTGTAAGATTCTCGAGAATTAAAAAATCTACCAGAATTAGCTGATTTTACGTTGACATCATGATCTGCAGATAGCACGCAAAGCGCTATAAGGGATAAGAATAGTGACATTCCTTTTGAAAATCAATATCCTAAAAACATCAATACCAGAATTTTTTGAACCAAGTTTGCAGGAAGTTCTCTACTTCTTTGGCATTTACCATGAAGGTGTTTGCAATTGTTTCATATTTAGCATCCATTGAACATTTTTTTCTAGTTTGGAACTAGTCAAAACAAGGTTATGAAACAGGATATCTCCTGCTTTAATGGGAATGCTCAGGATGCTTCGCCATGATCTCAACAAAGACTACCTAAAGTGCCTAAAAAAAAACTAATGTGAATGATCAGAATTTGTTTGAAGCTATAAATAGTGAAGGTGACAACGTTGACCTCTTTGAGGAAGAAATTAATGATGAATTTTTACAAATTAACATTGAGGCAGTGAACATGGAAATGGAAAATGAACTGGCAATAGAACAATTTTTTGATATTAGTAAGCTTAAATGAAATCAAGAGGATATAACTGAAGGTCCAGTTGTTAATTCTCAAAGACCTACCAATAGTACTAATGAAGATTGGTCGGCTGACAATATCTTCCTCCAATATAATACTATGTTAGAATAGATTTATAAAATCTATATAAGTTTATTGATTACATTGATAAAATTAATAAAATTTTATCATAGTGAATTCTAACCTAAAATAAAGTAACCCGTTAGAATTCAAAATTTAAAAAAGTAAAAAAAAAAAAAAAATGGTTAGTAATAAATTCGTAAAACCATACTATCTTCGGAGTATAAGAAGCGTAAATGTGCATAAGACCTAAAGCATAAATAAAATTAATAAATCAATGTCTTGAAACAATATAAATTCATAAAGTATTTTAGAGTTAAGTACATACATAAATCATAGCCAAGCTTTAGTGGTTATATAACCTGGCTAGAACTAGTAATGTTATGCGAAGTTTAGTATAATTTTAGAATAAAATATATTGTATTTTTATCCAATACAATTATTTAGTATTAATTTTATTAAAATAATTTATATTTTTAATATATTTATTGCATGTTGATAACTATTTAATATATTAATTAAGTATTAATACAGTGTTTTTGTATCTATTAATATATTAATTAAATATCTATTTGATATATTTATTAAGTATTAATTCCATATTAACAACAATTCTATATCTATTTTATATATTAATTAAGCATAAAGGGTGTGGTGACTTAGTGAAGTGGTGGAGTTGTTGTACCACCAGACAGCAGGTCTAGAGTTCGAATCTCATGGATGATGTTTTTAAAAAATAGCCTTGTAATACAGTTAACGGCTATTTGACGATTGGTAAATCTAGAAATCTGTAATCTTGGTCACACCATCTAGAATTGAGCTTTGGCGTAATAAATCTGAGATACCAAAAGAACTGAAAACCTATTTGGCAAGTTCTGAGTTAGAAGGTAGCACAATTTTTGATAGTACTAGAGGAGGTCTGAATTTGGAACAAGGGACCGAGATCAGAGAACCAAGCGACCAGGTCCTTAAGTGAGGGACATACTAGCCAAACTGCTAAGTTTCCAAACTGGAGGAAAAGGACATATGCTCTGGAAGCATGTACTAAGAGAAGGAAGAACATATAGACACCTAAGGTCTAGATAAACCAACCTTTTCAGGTTGCTAGCTGGAAGTAAAGAAGAGACCGATAAAGAATCTGAAAAAGAATAAAAGTTCGAATGTAGGTTCTGGGGTTGTATGAACCCAAATACAAAGGCGAGAAGTATGTAACAACTACTAAAATAGAAAGATTGTAGTTTGAGCTATGGATTGAGTTACGGCAGTATCCTAAAAAATAGCTTGAAACATGAACTCAGTGGTGGCAACACAACAGGTACTAGTTTAGGAAGAAGTTACTGAACATGCAGGTAAATACATGTGTGGGCCATGTACCGCTTTGTTAGGTTTATCTTAAAAATAAAGTAGTTCTAGGTAGGGTATAAAATCTACAGGTGTCACAAAATCTAGCATATAAATAGTGAGTTACACCTTGGTTAGGTAAGAAATGACAGACTAGTTGTGACTAAAGAGTTTAAATAGATAATTCCCTAGTTAGGTTGCAGGTATGGCAGCTAGTATTGAATCTTGGACAAACTACTTAAATAGGTAACCAAAAGTTGCAGGTATGGCAAGTCGTACTCTCACTTGTAAAAGCCAGAGAGCTTAAATAGATAATCTTCTAATTAGATTGCAGGTATGGCAGCTAGTATAAAACTCATGTGGACTACTTAAATAGACAACCAAAAGTTGTACATATGGCTAGTTGTACTCATCATAATTGTAAATATTGTTAATTATCTAATAAAAAGCCCCAGCTATAAAGGTCACCTTAACACTAAAAAAAAAAATATTAATTAAGCATTAATTCTGCATCAACAATAACTCTGTATCTATTTGATATATTAATTAAGAATTAATTCTATATCAATAGCAATTCTATATCTATTCGATATATTAATTAAGTATTAATTCTATATCAACAACAATTTTGTATCTATTCGATATATTAATTGAGTATTAATTTTGTATTAACAATAATTCGGTATCTATTCAATATATTAATTAAGCATTAATGCTGCATCAACAATAACTCTGTATCTATTTGATATATTAATTAAGTATTAATTCTGTATCAATAGCAATTCTATATCTATTTGATATATTAATTA